TTAAAAAAATCTAACTTTTCTGTAAACTTTCATTAAAATTACAATGAAAATTTATATATATATACTCTTGATCATGCTTATGTGAAACTTATATATACTAATCCTCCCAGAAAAGCAACCTAATGGGTCCTACAGATTGGTCCAAGACCTTCATGCTATAAATCATGTTATATAATACCTCCACCCTGTATTACCTAATCCCTAATCTCTACTCTCTCTCATCCCTCCTCCTACTCAGTATTTCTCAGTCTTAGATCTTAAATACACAGTTTTTTAAATGTCCCATTAGACCCTCTATCACAACCCCTCTTCACTTTTACATGGATAGACCCTGACACCTACATTTCTCATTAATTAACTTAGTGTGTCCTCTGCCAGAGTTTCCAGGACAGCTCCCACCTTTTTTGACAAGCGAATCTATTCCCACTTCAAAACACTTTAAACCGTCTACCCTTTTACAATATGTTGATAATCTTCTTCCCTGCAGTCCCATCTTTCTCCTCTCAACATCACACTGCTTATCTTCTCATACTCTTAGCAGATAAAGGCCATCACGTCTCCGCTCATAAAGCCCAAATATCTTAAACCCAGGTGACTTATGTTGGGATCGTCATTACACCCACGTCAAAAGGAGTAACTCCTGGCCAAGTAGAATTTCTCATACACTCTCTATCCCAACTACAAAACATATCCTGCTTTCACTCCTTGTCTTAGCTGGCTTTTTCAGGCATTGGATGCCTTGCTATGTCACTTTAGCAAAACCTGTATATCTGCCACCCATAGCAACCTTCATGAACCCATGGACCCAACACCCCAATACTCTTTATCCATGCTCCCTTTGTAGCCCTTGAAAGGGCACAGTCCACAGATCCTGTTCTATCATTACACATCTCTTCCAAGTCTTTTCACCTCTACACAGATGAACAATAATACACAGCCATTTAAGTCTTAATGAACAAGCGTGGCTCTTCCCATGAAGTCATTGCTTACCTGTGCAGACAACTTGACCGCACTGTCAAGGTCTGGCCGTCTTCCCTAAGAGCATTAGCTGCAGCTGCCACTCTAACACAAGAATCTCAAATACTAACATTTTTATATCCCACAACCATCTACTCACCTCATACTTTCAGGATTTCTTTTCTCAAAATGCCCTTAGTCACCTCCCTCCTTCTCACATCCAACAAATCCATGGCTTCTTCTTCCAGTTCCCACACCATTAAGCCCTGTCTCCCTTTTCCCTGCCATGAATCAGCCTACCCTTCAACATAGGTGCCATGCTATCCTCAAACTCCACTACTCTCTATTTTCACACATAATAGATTTCCCACTAAAATATGCTGAACATTTTAATGGAAGCACCCTGCCTCTCTCCAGGGCAAATGAGCAGTGTATGCTGTTGTCTTCTCCACCTCTGTCAGAGAGATTCAGGCATTACCACTTAACACCACCTCCCAACTGGAAGAACTTGTAACCCTCATGTGAGCCTTAATTCTCTCAGCCAAGAAAAGTATATAAATATTCTAAATATATAATCCACTCAAATGCAACAGACTGGACTGAAAAAGGCTTTTTTACTACTCAAAATACTTTGATCATTAATGCCTCCTTTATCAAACATTTTCTTCAGGACACTTAGTTACCTGCTGCAATAGCCATATTCCACTGTAGAGACCATCAAATATCCTTAAATTCTATCAGTCAAGGCAACAACTTTGTATACCACATAGCCAAAAGATCTACTTCTGTTCCTCTGCCATTATCTAAATGACAGTTCATTTCCTTAGCTGTGCTTGCTCCCACCTACTCTCCCCAGAGATCTAAAACCTTACATAATAAAATGCTTGCTGACAAGGTCCATGGCCTTTAACAGTTTGTCCTTAAGAGTAAATATATTCTCCCAGAAACCTAAGCTTCTCCCATTCTTACGACTTGCACAATTAATTATTAATTACACATAGGGCATCAACTTTTACTCCATCTACTTCAACACATTGTCTCTTGCCAGAAACTCTCCTCTCGACTTTACTACATCCGTGAACAGTGCCCTATTTGCCAGTAGACCTCCCCTTGCAGAGTTTGGTGGGTGGAGAGAAGGGGTGAAAACACACACACACACACACACACACACACACACACACACCAGCAACAACAATGTACATGAATAAAATACAATAAAACAAGTATAAAACTCCCTCTTTTCTAAACACCAAGCTCAAGGCTACCTACCAGACCAGAACTGATTTTACTGATGTAGCTCTGCATAAAAAAATCTCGGCTATCTCTTTGTCTTTGTCGTTACTTCATAGGATGGGTTGAAGCCTTTTCCAGCACTTCTGAAATAGCTCAATAGTCACTGACATTTTTTCAAATAATTTCCCATTTTGGGTTCCTTTTTCTCTCTCCGGTCAGATATGTTGTTATTATACACAGGGTTTTCTAAGACCTGTTATTTTGGAATTGGATGGCCACTCCTTCTCATAGTCTATCTTAATTTGGATGCTCAGCTCTAGAGCAATAAGTGACAGAAAAGCATTTTGCCCAAAAGACCACATGAGAGAACTTTAGCATTATTCAGGTACCATGTAGGTCTTGGTCCTGCCTGCCACCCCCTAAGATGTGTTTTGTTCCCACTCCCACTCGTGCTCTGCTACCATCCAGCTGAGTCCCCTCTCTTTGCCCCTCCAGCACCTCCTCCACCTACCCCTAGCCAATCCTGGTTTGATATCTCAGGCCTCCACCCAATTGCTCTCTATTCCCCTGTGATGTTGGTGTTCCTGTGCAGCATAGATGGGTAGTCCTCCTGATGAAAGAACTTTGCTTAATGAAGCTGAGGAGACCTGTGAGGAGTATGCTGCAGAAGATCATAGATTGCAGTCTTAAATATGGATCAACGTAAAAAATACAAAAAATTCTCACCACTGGGCTAATTGGCAGCTTCAAGACAGACAAAGGAGTGACTGAGATTGTTAGCAACATCAGCTTTCTTGGTTCTACAATCAATGCTTTGGGGACAAGCAGTCAGGAAATCAAAAGACAAATTGCATTTGGAAAGTCTGCTGTTCTGGACCCCTCTAGAGTACTAAAGAGCAACGATGTCATTCTGGAGACAAAAGTGCACCTGATCCAGGTCATGGAATTCACAATTACTTGCTATGCATCTGCAAGCTGGACAATGAATAAGAATGATAGAAGAATAATCTATACCTTTGAGTTATGGTGCTGGAGAAGAGTGCTGAACATACTATGGAATGCCAGAGAACATATATATCAGTTCTGGAGAGGGTAAAACCAACCTGTTCCCTGGAGACAAGAATTTTGAAGCTTGATCTCACATACTTTGGGGAAATGTCCAGGAGAGACTGGTACTTGGAGAAGGGCACCATGCTTGGAAGGGTGGAGAGAGATAGCAAAGGAGAGGAAGACCCTGGATGAGATTGATTTACTCAGTGACCGGAGAAATGAGCTTAGGTCTATGGGAGACAGTGAGATTGGTTCAGGATAGGGTACAGTTTAATGTAAATATGGTTGCTATGAGTCGCAGGCAACACAATGACACATAACAACAAACACAACATGTTATTAGGTGCTATGGTGTCAGAAACCCTAAAAATGTACTTTTCTAGCCATTGTGTCAATCTTTGTTGCAGGGGCTATGGTCTCCAGCTAACTTAACTGCAGATCTCAACAGCTGTGGGATCAATATAAGAGAAAGAGTTTCCAAACTGTGAGGTACCTGGTAACAGGGGTAAGAGAAGATAAAGAGGCTGTGGCACTGTTGTGAAGAGATTGTGACAAAGTATAACCAAATAACCCTACATTTGTGCTATAGTTAAAGGTTTTGTTTGCTGGACAATTGAGGAATCCAGAGGCTTCTTGCATTTGTGCTGCTAAACTGAACCTGGACTTTTACCAACTGGGAGATTGTTTCTTGTTCATCTGGTTGGGACTGTTGGACTAAACCTGGGCTTGCATTGCGTGATATTCTTTGCCTTTTCCACTTTCCAAGCTATTTCCCTAATAAAACCCACAACTGTGAGTAAAGTCCGTGAAACAACAATGAATATCAAACCTGAATGATCGGTACAAAGAGGTGCAGGAGCCTGGGGGGTGGCTGTTTGCCTGATAAGCTGTTTGCTGCTGTGGATATTATTGGTGATTATACTTCCCCTTTTTGAAGCAGGTAGAAGCCGGACTCAGACACCCTCAAGGTGCATTGGCTATTTTTACAGGTCCCTTGAGTTGACTGTAACTCATACAAAATCACAAAAACTGTATGTCACAGGCAATAATATATAGTAATCCACAAGCATACCTAACATCTATGCTTTTCTATAGGATAGATTATATAGATTTCATGCAAGTTGGAATCTTAGATATTTGAATCTGTAAATTTAGCTTCAAGGGAAAAATTGGTTATTGATCAGTATCAGAGAATATAACTGAGAGAGAGTAAAACTAAGTTTCTCTTTGGAGGCTAGAAATTTGAAACTCCATTTCACATAATTTGAGCACATGGCCAGGAGAGACTGGTCCTTGGAGAAGGACATCATGCTTGGAAGAGTGGATGGACAGGCCAGGAGAGGAAGATCCCAGATGAGATGGATTGATACAATGACTGTGCCATTGGGGGTTGGTATGTCGGAATTAGTGAGACTGGATCACTGGGTGGGGTTCAGAGCTGCTATGTATAGGGTTGCTAGTGACTGATGGCACCTAACAACAACAACAACAATAAACATTTTCTAAATGATTAAGTGTATATGATGAAATCATAAATATAAACCAAGAATTGGTATCTAGTAAAACCTCTTTTTAAAAATGATATAAAGAGTCGTATTTTTTCACATAAAACTGATTATTTATTAAAAAGGTGTATGTAAGGGGAGAAAGGATTTAGAGAGGAAGTAGAAAGAGGTAAAGAGATAGGTGGCCTCAAGAAGGCTAGGACAATTTTCACCAGCGTAAAAAGTGGATAAACTTTGCTTTTTCCTTGTTCAGATTTATACTGAACCATTGTTTGGTGGTATTCCAGGAATTAAGAATTCTGGAATCCTGATACCATCTACCTGCAAAGACAAAAAAAAAAGCAGTCAACAAAGTCTTAAAACATAAATAGTTCTGTTTTAAGCTATGCGTAATTAGGAGGAAAGGGTTCAGTCAGAGGAAGTTACCTTTAACCTTCAGATTTAACTCAAACTGATATAAATAATAAAGTTATGAAGAGTTGATACAACTTTTTATAAAAAGTGACAGCAGGTGACAATGCGCAATTAATTCATACCATCATCCCTGTGGTGAGTTGTCAGTTATTCTAGACAAATAATTATCTAGATACACTCTCTACTCAAACGTCCCCAATGCTTATAGCACTTTCCATAACACTTTCCTAATATTTTTCCTTCTATCTCAACCTCAATTTCTGATTTGGCTTTTGTCAGCTTCCCTCTTTGGAAAGTGCATTCTATACCATAAGCTACTAGTCCTTTTTTGCATTTGAGTCACTGCAGAAAACACCTTTTGACTGATTCTCAGAATGTTTTTTTTTAAATTTTTTTTATCTTATACTGGTTTATTTACAAAGTTCATAAAGTTTGTCTGTTGTTGTTGTTGCTATGTACTGTTGTAAAGTTTGTCTGTTGTTGTTATTCATAGCAACCCTATGTACAACAGCCCTCAACGCTGCTCTATCCTGTGCCAATCTTACTGTCTCTTACACTCCTATCCCCATTACCCCAGTCACTGAATCAATCCATCTTATCAAGAATCTTCCTTTCTTGCTCTGTCCAACCACCCTCCCAAGAATGATGTCCCTTTCCAAGGACTGCTTCCTCTATGAAACGTGCCCAAAGTATGTGAGACAAAGCCTCAGAATCCTTGCTTCCAAAGAGCAGTCTGGTTTTACCTTCTCTATGATGAACCTACTTTTTCTTCTAGCAGTCCATGGTATATTCAATACTCTTCTCCAGCACCACAACTCAAAGGCATTAATTCTCCCTCTATCATCTCTAGTCATTCATTGCCCAGCTTTCTGATGCATATCAAGTAATTATAAAGACTATGGCCTTGATCAGGCACACCTTAGTCTCCATGCTGACATCATTGCTCTTCAATACTTTGGAGAGGTCTCTGACAGCAGATTTTCCAAATGCAATTGTTTTTTCAGAATGGTTTTTTATGGAAAGTTCAAGTTGTCATTTATTTTACCCAAGTTCAATTTCCTAGAATATGCACTGATGGCCTTGACTTACTCTGATACAGCTATCACATGGAGCAATTTGAATGTATCTGGTTTTGAAGGTACCTTTCTCATATCAGGTGGCCTTGGTAAGACTTCCAATTATTAAAATCATAGGGAGTATCAGCTGAGAACTCAATCATTATTTGAAAGTTCCATAACCAACAATTCTTTGAGAAACCATATTATTACAAAGGTCTAGGGTGGCATATTATAGATAGCTTAATTTTAAACCTTATTTCATGGCCCAAGTTTTATTTCCTCACCTAGATTCAGAGCATTTGCTTTCCAAGTCTTCATAAGCTCTAACAGACACTAGCACAAGAATCTGAAAGTTCCCATACACCACTTCTCATTTTTCTCTCTTCCTCATTGCTATTGGGTTGGTACTGACTCAAAGCTGACCTTTCAGCAGGTTTTCAAGGCTATAAATCACCCAGAAGATTTCCCATTTTCCTCCAAGAAGACTGGTGGATTTGAACCTCCAGAAAGTTGTGACCTTTTGGTTAGTAGCACACCCTTCTATGAACTAGGCCATCAGAGCTTACAACCTCGCATTGAACTGGTAGCAGATATATCCTTTCAACTAATCATTAAATTCTACTATGATAGTTAAAAGGGAGCTCTGGTGGCCTAGTGGTAAGACATGTGAAAACCTGAAAACATGTGGTTCAAATCCATCAGCTGTTCTGCGGAAGAAGGATGGTCGGTCTCCTCCCATGTGATTAACTTTATTTGAAAACTTGCCAGAGAGTCTGCTATGGGGTTGGTTCAGATTTGATGGTATACAACAACAACAACATGATAGTTAAAGAGAACTTTAGTGGTCTAGTGGTAAGGAGGTACACTGGCAACTCAAATGTATGCAGTTAAAAAAAAATGTATGCAGTTCAAATCACTCAGTTGCTCTGTGGTAGGATGATGGCAATTGCCTCCTGTGATATTAACTGCCTATGAAAACCCACTAGTAGGTCAGCTATGGGTACTTAAAACTACAACAACAACAATTAATAATCTTGGTTAAAGTTATATGTCAAATTGACTAGGCACAGATTCTTAGTTTTGTGATCGATGAGAGCAGCTAGTGATTTGAAAGGGGCATTTCCTTGGAAACATTGCCTGAATGCAATATATTTGGATGCTCTGGTAAAACTTTTCTCTCAAACCTCCATTTGATTTGCCATCTGTTTTCATGTGTGATTTACTTTTTATTATTATTATTTTAATTTTACATTGGTCTGCATACAAAGTTCTTATACATTGTGTTTCACATTGTCCTGCATTCATGTTGTGTTTCATGCAATCATTCTCATTCATTATGTTCCATAAAATCAATCACCATTAAATAATGCCCATCATTACCTTGTCTTTCCAGATCCTCACTGGATCTTTCCCATTTCCTTTATCCTCCCATCCTCCACCCATCAAATTTTGTGAGACTTTACTTTCCCCTCTGCCCACCCTCATCCCTCTTCCTTCATCCCACGCTTCCTTCCTTGGACCCCCATACATGTTTTACTAGCCATTCTTTTGTTTTTACAATAATGATCCTATGCAGTATTTATACGTATGACACTGAATTGTTTCACTCAGTAGAATGCTCTCCAGTTTCTCTGAAGTTATATAGTAATTTTTGAAATTATTGATCTCAAGTGCTGTGTAGTATTCCATTGTGTGAATGTACCACAATTTCTCAATCCATTTGATTGTGGTTGGACATTTGGGCTGTTCTAATGTTCTTGCAATTGTGAACAATGATGCTATGATCATTAGTGTACAAATCTCGTTTGTGTCTCAGTTCTAATTTCCTTGCGGTAAATTCTTAGGAGTGGAATAGCTGAGCCATATGGAATTTCTATGTCCAGCTCTTTGAGGAAACGTCAAACTGCCTTATAGAGTGGTTACACCATTTTACAGTTCCACTAACAATGTATGAGAGTTACTATTTCTCCACACATTCTTCAACATTTATTGCTTGCTGTCCTATAAAACTTTGGGTTTGCTCTTTTGACCTCCAGTTCTTAGAATGTAAGCTTATCATCTGACATCTTCCCATCTTACATGCAGAATTTAGAATTCACCAATCCATTAGACATGTAAGCCAGCATCTCACCATCTAATCTGTCAATATTGGGTTTGTCTGACTCTTTAACCACAAAAGTCAGGAGAAATCACAGATATATATTCCAGCCCTCACTCGGGGTACCCCCCAT